ATTGCCAAAGAGCTCTGCCTACCACCTGTAAAGCGTGAGTTTTTTTTCGGCCAAAAGTTATGTGTGATGAGACGATGCTAACTGGCTGCAGTGCACTGCTCTATGCTTGCCGAGGACGCCATCAAGTCCGCCATCTCCAACTACTACACCAAGAACCCCAAGGCACGACAAACAGATCTGGGCGGCAAGTCGGCGCCATTGCCAAAGGTTGAAGTCGAGACTGTGTCCTCTGCGGCGGCCTAAGAAGCATGTTTAGCATAAAGTGATACCGAAGACACCAAGGGGAAGGGCGAAAAGTGGCCTATGGAGAAACCTGATGTTAGTCTCTCGTTACTCAATGTATTGATTGGGGCAAGGGCGTTTGTGCGTTAGGAATGTTGGCTTATTGTACAGTCAAGCCGAAAGTATACCTAAATTATCATCGCAATGAACAAAAACACTTGAATATTGAGATATACCGGTTTGGCTTATTCGTGAAGTATGTACATTGTATTTGAGAGAAAAAGAATGTTCACAATGGCGTAAGTGACAGGGCTGAGAAATGTTAAATACTGGTGAGGAGAACTGGCGGGGAACTGGCTGTGTAAGGTGAGAATCACGCCATGCAGGTGCTCCAGATCTCATTGTCCATCTGATTGTGCGTTTGTGTGATAGTGCGTTGTGGACCCATGACGCGTATTTCTGGGGTACGGACCGAACCACTATTTGCTGCTCTTGCTCAAACATAGTGTTGCAATGTAATAGGAGCACTGCTCTCTGTCCACAGGCCTATATCCGGTGAGAAAAGTAAAAGTATTTGCCAATGACGGTGTGGACCCTGTTACCAAGTAATACCATTCGCGACCTCGGTCCTTAACACATCGACACTCCCGGACAGCCTACACACTTCATAACAAACTCGTTCAGATTTCCGGAACATGGCGACGGTGCAAGACGACAGCTCAGCATCTGCGATACGCTTCAAGCGTCGCAAGACTACCCATCCGAAGCGTGTCGCTGTTGAAGAAGATGCGCCTACCGTCGTCACCTCGCAATCTCCAGATGCAACCAGTTTGCAGCACGCGCCGTCGCACTCAACCGAAGCCAACAACGATGAAGAGTCTGTTCCCAACCTGAAAGAGATAATCCGCAACAGAAAGCGCCCTCGGGATCGCCCGAAGGAAGGCTTGCGCAAGGCAGAAGTTCCCCTGACGCACATGGTTCACATGGACGACGCACCACGACCAGACCAATATACGGGACGTTTTGTCGCACAGACGGGACAGGTGGTGGATCGCGACGACAGGCAAATGTAAGTGGAGCATTCGACAGGGCCCAAAAGGCCGGCGCGTCTGGGTGTGGCAAGTGCAGACACTGATGTGCTAGGTCGGAATACGTAGAAGCCCGCATGGCTGAAAAGAACTATCGTCAATACGGCTGGCCTATCCCACAGCACCTTCAAGCTTCAGTAGCAGCCATCGCACCGGATTTACAGCATACATTTACTTCAAGAACATCCGCGCGTGCGCCAGCGGGAGCAGAGAATCCGGTGGATAAGGAACATAGCGAGCGATTGGCAGCGGGCCAGGGCAAGCTTCAGGAAGTAGATCTGGGCCCAGAAGCCAGAGCGCGCATCGAGCAGGCTTGGAAACGACTGGAGAAAGGCGAACCTGAACAACCGGCGGGCAAGGCGCCACGAGACAAGTATGGCTATGCATGGCGCAAGTCGAGAGGGGGTGGGAAGACGGACGAGGACAAGAAGCGCGATCAGATGGTTGAGGCCGTACTTAGCGAGGCAAAGCGTATGTCTCTCCCACCATATTTCTTTCTATCCATTCTTGTATTCCTACTAACCACTTTATTCTACAAACAGTCGACTACTTCGACTCCCCCGCGCCATCCATCCCCCTCGCCACAACCTCCACCCATACAAATACCGACGACGCGCTCGTCGAGCAATTCCGCACCGAGTATTTCGAATCCATGGAAGCAAGACGCCAGCACCACGCAGCCCGTAAAACAGCAACAGCAGCAGCAAAGGGTGCGGCGCCATCGATTTCAGGTCCCAAAATGGGAGGTAGTAAGAGTGCGAGGGCCAGGATGCACAAGTTGCAGCAGGAAGAGTTGGCAAAGAAGAAGAGGTGAGATTAATCATATGTGTAGATGAATTATTATTATTTTTTGAGTAAAGGATCATGGTATCGAGAAGTGTTGTACGTACATATAAAATGACAGGAGTTTAAAGATGATATATCAAAAGGGAACCAAAAAAACGCCATCCCTCATTTACAATCATTCATGCCGCCTTTCCGCGCTGAAGCCAATATATCCCAGACCTAACCAACCCCTCCCCCCCCAAAAAAAACGCCCTTTACCCTTCCCTTTGACCCAATATCCTCAAATCTTCTTCGGTCCACCACCTACCTTCTTCCCTCCCCCTCCAACCTTCTTCCCCACCCCACTCCCAGACGTAATCTTAATCGGCACCCCACTCTTCGTCACCACGGTGCCTCCTCCTCCGGGACTTTCCTTCCCCTTCTTCTGCGCCTCCTCAATCTCCTTTTTATCAACTCTAATCACAAGGCCATTGTTGAGAGTCACGGTACCTGTTTGCTTCGCTTGCTCAGCTTGTGTTTGGGGGATTTTGATGGTGACGCCTGAGGCGAGGAGGACGTCCTTTGTGGGGCCGTTGGGTGTGGGTTTCTTTGCGGGGGTGCTGGGTTTTGAAGGGGTGGAAGGGGAGGGTTTCTTGGTTGCTGGTCCTGTCGCAGCGGCGGTGGCGCTTTGGGCTTTACGGATTGGAAGTTTAGCAGTTGTGTTGGGGGGTTGGAGGGTCTTTGGTGGTGGTGGCATCGTTGAGGTTGGACGACGCATGCCGTTTGGTAGGACGGCGCCGCTTGATATTGCTGTTTCCTTTACGAGTTTCGCGAGGTTTTCTTGAGTGAGGCGTTGGACGTTTGACATTTGGTCTGGAGAGGCGGCTTGTTCGGCGCCCATTTTTGCAGCGCCTTCGATCATTTTTTCGAGTTGATCCGGGCTAGGGAGTTTGCTCATATCGCCGGTGCCTTGGCCTAGGAGCATCTTCATGTGATTTTCGAAGAATTCTTTGCCGCCGGGTATGGGTATGTCGTCGGGAGAGGCGCCGTAGGCGACGGTCAGGGCCATCATGATGGATGTGATTGGCGCAAAGATTTTGACAAATTCGTTCCAGTTGCCGCTCTTGACTTCGGTTTCGATCTGGACTGCGGGACGGGGGACGGTGCGGATGGTTTTGCCGTTGCTGCGGCTGGACTCGCTCCGGATGTCCATGTCCAGGTGGTCCTTCCAAAAGTCTTCGGCGGGGAACCGGTTGTTGCGGTTGAAGTATTCAAGCATGTAGTCCTTCTCTCGCCAGCGGTTTCTTAGCCACACTTCGAATGCGTGTGTGTTTTCGTAGGGAATGTCGGCGAGACGGAAGCGGCGCCAGTGCATGTTTACGGATTTCGGGGGTCGGCCTTCGAAGAACGAGGAGCGGAGGGTAAAAATATCCTGTCCATATTGGCCCGGTGGTATACCTTCGTATGCAATGGTGCAGTCATAAAGCCAGTCTGTAGTATCTTTCAGCTCGTTGAGGCAGAATTTTAAACCAGTGCTGCGAGGAAGTAGCTGATGCTTCATATCCTGGAGTCCATTCTTCTCAGCCCATTTCTTGCTTTTTTCCCGAGTCGTCGGAGACAGGTTCGTTCCTTCGGGGAAAATAATGAGCCACATAGGATCTCCCTTCTTATTCAACTTGGAAAGGTGCTTCTTAAAAGTTCTTTCATCCTCTTCCCACTTCCTCGATAAAAAGATGAAGTTGTAGAACTGTGCGCCCCACCCGATAATGGGTATGTTCTTCAACGACTCCTTCAGAATGATGTAGATGAAGCCATGCATGTTGTTCGTGTAGGCGATCCACCATAGGTAAAGCCAGTCGGTATAAAGCTGGTGGTTCGCCATGAGGACCATACGGTCGGCAAAGTTACATTGAAGAGAACCATCTTTGCGCTTGATGAGCTGGCCGACCATGGTGGAGTCTCCAGAGACGCGGACGACTGTTGGCGCCCACCATTGGGTCAGGCAGGTGATGAGGATGGCGAAGCATTCTTTGGTATAGGCCATATACCCATCGTAGAATTGAGGATCGATGAGTTTCAACGGCGCGCCTAGGAACTGTGAAGCGCTTATGCTACGATACGTCAGTTTGATTGTACCCCAAAGGCGACGGCCAGGTATGCATACGCTAGCACTCCAGACAAAAAGGTCGAGGCCAATGTGAATGCTCTCTCTGCCTGTGTCAGCTCGCCATAGCGCGGCGGCCCAGCTGGATGCGCATCAACATTGTCTTTTGAGATTCGCAGCCCAGCACCCAGGTCGTCCTTCTTCTTCCTCTTGACAGATGCCGGCACTGGTGTTCTGTTCGCTGATTGGCCTGCAGCAGTGCCCGTCGACAGCTTAGCGGGAGGTTTGGGAGCCGTTGACTTGGTAGCGGGCGTAGGCTTCTTTGTCGCTGGTGGCATCTTGAAGAGTAGCAGAAACACGCAAACATTCAAATGTTCAAACGGCAAACACAAAGGCCTCGCACCCTCCCCCCAGTAACGGGCTACCCGCGACCCGCGACGTCAGTGCAGGGTCGAGATCAAGACGGCGGCTCCACTTGTGTCCCGTCAACCCTGGTCTGTCAGCCGCGATATGACGTCGATGTGTGGCGCTGTGCACTATGGCCACGCCAAAGCAAGATATGGGACTATAACCATTCCCTCTCTGCTAGCTCATTAGCTTCCTCACTAAATAATATACGCACTCCGCAGTATACATTTGCTCCTCAGTAGCATCGCCTGTATTTCCTCTCAGAGCCATCATCCACATTTTGACTAAGCAGTGAGTGGTCCCCCTTGACAGCCAACCCTGCCCATGTGCAGTATTGGCAGACATTCCAAGTCTTTCCATTGACACGTATTCATCAGATTCATTCTCAAAAGAAACATCACACATCTACCACAATGCCTGCCTCAGTAGCATCAGCGCCCGTCAGACACACCCCCAACAAGACGACTGCCACAAGAAACGTCAAGAAGGCAGGCACAGCCGCAACCAAGAAGCCCCAAACAAACGGCGCCGTAAACGGAGCCACAAACGGAGCATCGCACCCCCAAATGTCGCCTTATACCATCATGGCCTCGAGAATCGCCAACCGCGTCGCCGAAATGGCAGAAAACATGACGTTTGTCGAGCGAGAAAAGTGAGTCTCCTCTCTCTCCAAAGAAAACCATTCACTGACAAATTTCGTCTCAAAAGGCCTCAGCCACAACAAAACGGCGCCGTGCAACCGCAAGCCGCGCCTCGCAAGCCCCCGCGAAAGCTCGAAATGCGCATTCCCAACAGCGGCGCTTCACCTACAAACATTACGTTTAGCGCGCCCTTCCTTGACAACACGCTGTCTAAGCTGTTGACACTGCAGAACCGCATGTTGACTGTTAGCAACGACATTGCTGCATGCGAGGATGTGGACGAGAAGACGAAGCAGGAGCAGTTTGCGCAGAGCGCCGAGTTGAGCCGCATCATCGCACTGATTTGTGCTGAGAAGGCTAGGCAGGGTGCTTAGTTCTTCTTTTTTGCTTTCTTTTCCCTTGCTTGTTTTCGGGCTTGAATGACAGCATATCATATCTTTCACCACGTTATCATTTTCTATTTTCATTCTAAAGTGGCGTTTGGAGGCGGTGTTTCCCGTATGTATACCGAAATAGGTGGCTTTTCTTTAAACGCAGATAAGCAGGGGTTTGTTTTTTGTACGAATAGTTATAGATGAGAATGACAACGAAAATCTTTAATGGTACTGCAAAACTCTTTTCCTGTTCAGTTGCGGTCTCGTGATGTTAGTCTGGTAAGGTTACCCCTGAAACAAAAGTAAAATGGTCTTTCTCACTAGAGGAGCAAAATGGGCACTTGCCACATATGCCCTTTACTGCAGCAAGCCGGGCCCCATCACGCCCAAAGGACCCAAAGAAAACCTGCGTCTTGTACCAGAAATCGACACGCGCCATGGCTGAGTTGGGCGGGACATTCTGTGGTAAAGCGTACGTCATGGAAATGCGGGGGTTGTTGCTGCGGCGGGATAGCGTACACCGGTAGTCGCACGCACGCACCCCTGCATTCTCGAAACCGGTTCCAAAGAGTTGCGCAGTGGCGCACTTTTTGCCGCAATGACAAGAGATCGGCGGCAAATTGGGGGAAAAAGAGGGTCTGGGTCAGTCTGGAGTGATGGCTGTGTTCTGGGAGAAAGATTGAGCTTCTTACTACTTACTTTACTTGTTACTACATACTGTATTCTACGTTAGGGTTGCATGTAGAGCTGCTACGTACCCTGCTTTGTAACTGATATTGTCCAACTCATTGCATTTGCCAGCTTTAGAGATTAGTCGTCGACACTCTCTCTTGTTTTGTTGCATCTGCGAAAATGACGAGCTTCATTTCAAACATCATCTGGAACTCTGTCGAGGGGTTCGTGGATGCGGGAAAGAAATCGGCGGGCGAATTTGGCGGCAATGCGTTGATTAAAGCTGGAGATATGATTGAGAATAGCGGTAGGAGCATAGGAACCGGTAGGTTTGACTCCTTTCTTGCTCCACCCCTAGAACCCTTTCAGATTCATATAGAATCGCATGTCCTCGACTTTTCTTAGGAAACACTGACTGAACCCATCTCTTAGGCATAGAAAAAAAGGCAACTAGCTATGGCACTGCCATCACAGGCCAGCCCTATAAGCCTTCAGCAAAGGCCCTGCCCTCGACTGCCCGTAAGCCCGCAATGAAGCGCTCGAATTCCACACCTGTAAACGTCAAACCACCGACAAGCGGAATACCCTTGGGCGCGAAGAAGTATCCTGGCGGCAATCAAATACAAGGAGCTGTTGGTGGAGCCAAGAAGACGGCGGGAGGAGTCAACAAAGCCATTGGCGGTGTTACTGGCACCGCATCCAAAGCGACTGGAGGTGTCGTGGGCCGAGCAAATAGCACAATCGGCACTCTTTCATCCACGGCAACAAAAGGCCCGGGTAGTGTTGTAGGAGGCGGTCGGAAAGCCCTCGGCGGAGCTACTAAGTCTATCCCCCCTTTCAAGGGTCCAGGTCCGACATCTGCTGCTCCGAATAATAGCATCCCTAAGCCAGCTTATCCTACCGAGAAGAAGAAGGCCGTGAAGCCAGGCCAACCGAAGCCGTTTACACCGCCGGTTGAACAAAAGAAACCAGATCCGAAGAAACCTTATCCAGGAACGAATACATTGCCAGGACAAAGCCGGACGCCGGTGCAGCAGCATAAATATAAGCCCTTACCCAGGCTGGGCCCGCAGGTTGGTCCGGGGCAAACCATGCAACATATTTCCATCTGATTTGCGAGGGTGTTTTCGTCTTTCGGCGTTACAATGTAAGACTAGATCCTAAGTTTCGGGAGTAAGCAATTTAGTATTAGTAGTATATCATTATTCCAAGGATCCATAGTTGTGTTGTCAGCTGTGCGTGGGAATCGTGGATACCGGATGACCCCGTGCTACGGTGCTTTCATCTCAACACGATCTGGTGTGGTGATATGAACCGCGACCTTACAGCCCATGTGTAGCGGAATGGGCGTACAGCTGTCCAAATTGCAGTCAGCACACGCTCGGGCACCCTGATGTCGTTAACTTCGGCCAGACTCCGGTGTCGGCGGGCCTGTTTCCGCTGAGCATCATTGCTCATCATTGTCGATCGCTCCACCGAACCCCACACATCCTTGCCTCAACTGTAGGACCCTCGACCTATCATGAATGGCGCAATGGGTCAGACGTCGTCTCGGCATTTGGGGGAAGCATTCCGGGGGTAAAGCTTAGGTTTCTTATATATTCCCGGCCATCCGATGTGTGACTAGGTGCATCTTGTGTGCCGTCTCGCTTTCCTTCTCGTCCTTGAATACGTCGGACTCATGATGGCGCCGTTTTCGACCAAGAGATACTATGCAAGCGATAATCGGGACGAAGAGAAGGTTGAAACGGTGGCAGTTGAGAAGAACGGAGATAATATTCCAGATGCGCCTGTTATGAGAGAGATTGATCCAGTCATTGAGAAACGTGTACGACGGAAACTGGATAAACACGTTGTCCCACTGCTATCAGCGCTATATCTTCTTGCCTTTCTCGACAGATCCAACATTGGGTAATGCGACATATCAAGAACTTTCTCAGATCCAACTGCTTACACAAGACATAGAAACGCGCGCATTGCCGGTATGGAAGAGGACCTCCACCTCAGTAGCTCGGAATATTCATGGCTGCTAACGATATTTTACATTTCCTACATCGTCTTTGGCTTCCTCATCGTCATGTGGAAAGTCGTGCCTCCGCATCGCTGGGCTGCAGGATGCGTTTTCACATGGGGCCTGATATCGAGCGCACAAGCTGGAGCTCAATCATGGACTGGAATGATGGTGCTCCGCTTCCTCATGGGGGTTGCTGAAATCGCTTTTGGGCCTGGCGTACCGTTCCTGCTTTCGTTCTTTTATCTCAGACACGAGCTCGGTCTGAGATGTGGATTGTTCCTGTCGGCCGCACCGCTAGCAAACACATTTTCGGGCGCGCTGGCTTACGGTATTACCAGCGGAAATCCTTCGTTTGCAAAGTGGCGCGTACTGTTTCTCGCGGAGGGACTTCCGACAGTTGTAATGTCTGTTGTGACATGGTTCTTTTTGCCAGACAGCCCAGAGAAAGCGCGATTCCTTACCGAAGAGGAAAAGACTGTTGCCAAAGCACGTGGTGTGGTACAGGCGGGTACAGGGAATCGAATTGGAAGCATTGAGTGGAGGGAAATGCTGGAAGCGGTACTAGACTTGAAGAGTTGGGTCCTAGGCGCAAGTAGAGTAAACTCGTTGGGTACATCGAGCGAACTAACAATCTTTCAGATTATGTATTTCTCCGGCAACGTAGCATTCTCATCGCTACCAGTCTTTTTGCCTACCATCCTTACTGAGATGGGATTCTCGCACGTGCACGCACAGGGACTAACAGCACCTCCCTTCTTCGTCTCTTTCCTTGCTGTCATTGGGACTTGCTACATTGCCGACCGCACCCAACAGCGCGGTATCATGATTGCCATACTCACAGCAATCGGGGGTGCTGGTTATGTGATCCTGGCTACGACCAAGGCTGTGGCAGCAAGATACTTTGGAGTCTTCCTAGCTGCTGCGGGCATCTTCCCGGCCATTGGCAATGTTCTGCCGTGGATCACGAACAACCAGGGTACAGATACGCGGAGAGGGACTGGCCTGATGATGGCGAACCTCATTGGGCAGTGTGGGCCGGTACTTGGAACTCGACTGTATCCAAAATCAGAGGGGCCGCTGTATGTCAAAGGCCAGTCGATTTGCGCGGGGTTCATGTTCCTCTTTTGCCTGCTGGCTATCCTGTTGCGAACTCTACTTGCGTGGGAGAACAAGAAGCTGGATAGACAATACGGGACTTTGGCGCAGCAAAAATCAGCGATGCAGGAAGCTGCAAAGGGCGGGGAGGCGGTCCATCAGGTCGGACTAGAGAACTATGGTCCAATGTATCGATATGTACTGTAGTGGGGTCAATGGTAAGAGAAAATGGCTATCATGGCGTTGAATGGCGGTATGCAGCGTAAGGTTGGCGACATGTGAAAAGCAATGAAGAGGGGGCTGGTTGTGCATGCAGCGGGTGGTGGAGCAGGGGCATGCAGCTTGTCTTCCTGCATTGATGGGATAATTACTAGTGATGTAGCTATATGATAGATAATTCATCGGGATGGTTGTGCAGCCAGGAGCGAATCTGTATCGAATCAGTTCAAGGGCGAAGGAATGGTAGCGTGTTTGAAACTGGCCCCCCGTCTGTCCTCGGCCTACGTGTCCGAAAGAGGAAACCGCGCACACGACATCTGTTATGTGCACCACGACGGCCAAACGTCAATCAATGCCATGTTCTCATCATGGCAATCTGCAAGCCGGCCCAGAGATCAGCGCATCCAAGCGCACAAATATCCATGGTCAGCTTGCAGGGCACCGCCAAGGCGCAGCACCGGCGGTTCCCAGCGTGCGAACGGGCAGAAAGCTGGGGCAGCTGGGCCAATGAAGAGCTGGGGGACGCACGCACCGCAGCACTGGCCCCCCATAACGTCACTGCCAGATTCTGGATGAACAATGTCGTCTTGCGCTGCTCGTCCTCCTGTGCGCCCCTACTTCTAGACGCCTGCGTGTCTGCATCCCAGTGGCCCTCAACTGTATCTACGCCCCATCACCCACCCATCGTAGCTCCACCATTGCTGCCGTTCCGAGGCGCGCCTTGCTGCAATGCCGTCCAATTCCTCCACTGGGCCTGGACCCGCCAGCGCTGCTAACTCAGGTCATGCTTCGTACGCGACAGCTGCAGCCTCGGATCCTGCTTCGCGCCAAGGACAAGACGCCGACTCTGCTTCTGCTCTGCCCAAAAAGAAGAAGAAGACGCATCGTGGCGGAAAGAAGAGGCGCAATCGTCGCCCATCCTTTGCCGCAGGAGCCGATCTGCCACAGGCTGACTCAATGGATGAGCGTCCCACCCTCGCCAACGCCGCCAGCCATGGCCAGTCACGAGGGAGCAGCAGCTTCTACCGCACCCACAGCAATCTCAGCAACACCAGCCTCGAGAGTGAAGCCCTGCTGGACCACCGCGAACAGCCCACCATCCGGACGCGTCGTCCAAGCGTGCCTGTGACGTCCATGTACCCGCCTCGGGGGAGCCAGCCCACCCCCAACCCTCAACGCCTGCAGTCCTCGAAACCAGCAAACTCGTACGGAAGGTCGCGCCTCTCACATACCCCCGACCTGCTTCACCACAGCGATGCCGCCGACGACGACGAAGACGACGACACCAACGACAGGACCCCCTTGATGAGCTCCTCTGTTCGTGACATCAGGTCAGGCACAAGCTATGGCTCAAACGGCGGCAATGCACGTAGCAGGAGCGGCACGTCCTTGTCTGCTCCCAAGCACATGACGATGCCTGAACACCGACCCGACCTCTTCACCCAGCACCATCACTCTGCCACAAACCTCAACGACTACGATGTTAACAACCCCCCGTCCGTGCCCACCAGCCCGACCTTTGAACCCCACTCCGGACTGGACGATGTCATGATCCCAACAGATCTCGACCACATGTCCGATCCCGGCCGACCCAGCAGCAGAAGTCGCGATGCATTGATCAACATTGACGGGGACGAACATGGAGGCTCGCCTCCCTCTGCTTGCGACTTGAGACGTCGTATGACCACAACGGCACTTGAAGATGTCTGTTTCCCACACGAGGCCATGTCTGAAATAGGACACGAGGATTATATGAACGCGCCGACGACTGGTGAGCCTACGAGCCGACGGAGACGCCGCCGCTGGCCTGATCTCGACGTACTACAGGCATGGGCAAACCAGGAGAAGGAGCAGCGGACCATGGACGGCATGCGCATGCGCAAGGTTAGCGAACCGCTCATGGTCGAAGGCCGTCTGCGTCCCAGACGGCGCGTCTGGCACCGTGAGGCGAGCGATGCACCCTATCGATTTACTTATTTTAACGAAACCTTTGACAATACCATTCATAGTCAAAGCATCAGCGAACTGCTGCAGCCCGGTCAAAGTTTCAGGAATCTGTTTGTCCCGGATCCCCCAATTATCGAAGACACTAGCGATAGCTCTGATACGGAGGATGATATGCTACACTCGGGTACCAATGGACATAATTCGCGATCGGCTTCCAAAGTGGACGGCAAGCACTCGTCTGGAGAGCAGACACGCTCCACGACGCCGCGTCCAGCAGAAACACCAAAGGCTGAGGACGAGAAACCGAAGCGCTACGGCCCACGACCTGCGTGGTGGCTGGATGTCATGTCGCCCACGGAGACGGAGATGAAGGTCATTTCCAAGACGTTTGGCATTCACCCCTTGACATCCGAGGACATCTTGATGCAGGAACAACGCGAAAAGGTCGAACTCTTCAAGCACTACTACTTCATCAACTATCGAACGTTTGAGCAGGATGAGAACAGTGAAGACTATCTGAATCCCGTCAACCTGTACGTTGTTGTGTTCCGGGAAGGTGTAATAAGCTTCCACTTTTCCTTGACACCGCACCCTGCAAACGTTCGTCGCCGCATCCGCCAATTGTCAGACTACCTGGTTCTGTCGCCTGATTGGATTTCGTATGCCATAATTGACGATGTGACGGACGCGTATGCACCCATGATCCAGAAGATTGAGGAAGAAGTCGACGACATTGACGAAGCCATTCTGCGTCTTCACTCGAGCGATGAAGAACAAGAGGCGGAGAAGGAAAAGAATCACAGCTACAACAACCCGCACTACAAGGATCCGCCTGAGGTCAAGTCCCAGCAGGACACGGGCCGAGACATGCTGCGTCGGGTAGGCGAGTGCCGAAAGAAGGTTATGAGCCTGTACCGGCTGTTGGGCAACAAGGCCGATGTCATCAAGGGATTTGCAAAGAGATGCAACGAGCAGTGGGACATTGCACCTCGCAACGAAATCGGCATGTATCTTGGAGATATTCAAGATCACATTGTTACCATGACTGGCAACTTGAGCCACTATGAAAAGTAAGTTTGAAGCGTGGCTTGCTTGAGACGCAAACTAACAAAGGATTACAGTCTTCTTTCTCGCGCGCATAGCAACTACCTGGCGCAGATCAACATCCGGATGAATGAGCGACAAGAAAAGACGTCTGACATTCTGGGCAAGCTAACGGTGTTGGGTACTATTGTGCTGCCCATGAATGTTGTGACGGGTATCTGGGGCATGAACTGGTAAGTGCATAAGATTGCATGGGGCCAAGATGAGAGATGCTGACCAAAAGCTAGCCTTGTGCCCGGACAAGATATTCAAAACCTCAACTGGTTCTGGTCCATTACTGGGGGCCTTATTACGTTTGGTCTGGCTTGCTACTTTATTGCAAAGCGGGTTTACGGCATTGTTTAAGCAAGAGCGGCGTAAAGAAAGTGTGCATTTTGTAGGGGTTTGCGGACAAGATGTTGCAACCCTTTGGCGTTTGGGTTTGATATAACGTAGTGATGGATATGGCATTGTTGTTGGGTATTCCTGTGGATCGAGATTGTACATTGTTCTTCTGTTCTGACTCTAATAGAAGATTTTGGATAGCTGCGGCGTCTAGTATGTTATCATCATGATTCTGACTTGTCGACTGTGAAGAAGGGTTGATGTTGAGGGGCCGTATCGGCGGGGTCAGTGCCACAGGAGGGGAGGACACATGGGTCGGTAATGACATTTGGCACAGTAGGTTTTTCAGTAGCGGTGTGGTTCCGGTGAGCAGCTGATGGTGGCGGAGGCTGATGATATGTACATTTGTCAAGAGCTGTGGCAGGAGCTGAGCAGTTATACTAGGAGATGCCCGAAACCTGAACAATCATGCCGCCCCAACCTGCTGCAAGTTGCGGACCGTTGGTCATGGAAGGGGATGGACTCATTTGTACGTAGGGACATTTCTAAATCGTAATGGTACCTCTCTTCCGCGTGTGCTTTCCGTAGGGCCGCGATAATGTTCAACATGTTGGGTGGCATCTTCTGGAACGGCCCGTGGGCAGCCTTTGGGTCGATTGGGCAGCCTCTGGAGGGGACGAGAAAAAAAGAGGTCGTCTGATGTCTCTCTTGGATGCTGCCTTGACTATACATACGTACGCAAAATCGAATCAGAGGTAGTGGTAATGCATAGGGCTAGCAGGGTGACCCTAGAAGTGTTGGGTCGCCTCACTACTGTTAGGCGTTAGCAGCATGTATGGAGGTGTAAGCTGTGCAGCAGCGAGGGAGGAGATTGTGTTTTCTTCATTGCCTTGTTGCAAAGGTCGCAGCAGACTACGGCTGAAATAGTCACCGTGTACCATGGATGCAAGACGGGCCACGATGGCGGCGTCACGGGCGTCCAGGCGTCAGACGGTCGAGGCGAGGGCGTGTGTCAGCGGATCGAGGCGTTTGCGAGGGCGGCGTGCACATGGTCGCGGCCTCACACGGCATGCGGGGCTATGCGACGGAGGCATGGCGCAACGTCCGGTCACTTCTTGAGCCCACTAAAAGAAACTTCTAGCGAATGTGGCAGCGTGCAGGCACCGGTTCGCATGATGCCACGGCCGCTCTCCCGCTGTCGCTCCACGGCAATGGTAGGGCTGCCATTGCATTGCGCCCGCTGAGGGCGTTCGTTGTTGCACCCCCAAAGCACCGTCGCATGTGCACTGCCCCTGCATGTATGCCTACTTACCATCTATCGTACATACTAGTCCTACTATACAAGCTGCAGTATAGCATACCATGCCGTACATAATTGGCCATGGGCAATCAGAGCATTCGCGCCCAAGGCCCATGTCTGATTGCATCCTGGTCGAGACCTGCGGACAGTACCCCCATGACGTCAACCGGGTGCTGAGTTCCAGCATCTGGGCAGTCGAGAACCCAACCCTGTCTTCTGACGCGATCCGCTCTCCATGACACTTGACGTCGTCTGCCTCGCTGCCTCGCTGCCTCTCCGCCTCTCCTGCTCTCTCTCTCTTATTACCCCGCCG